ATATATATATATTATCTGTAGTAATTCTATTTCTACTCCCTCTCATTCGAACATCCTTACACGGTACATTTCCTCCTACGCCTAAACGAAACTGCGATGTTCCTTCCTAGTGCCCATCGATCAATTACAAGTGATTTGAATATTTGAACTCACCGCCGCGCGATCCAGAACGAGGTTCCCCAGAGTCAGCAGCATCTAGAGGTCTAGGAGGTGCCGATCCACGTAAGCCACGAGAGCGCCATCCAGGGGGACAGAGAGCAACCGCACGGTGGACAACCACTGGTAAGTCATTATCTACATTATTTCTATACGCGCGAAACTACGATTAAAGCCTGCAACTATCCGACCCACCGTAAGGTTACATTACGGTGGTTATACTACGCGTCTTGCGCGAAATCGATCGCGATTACCCTTGATCGCACGGATCCCCGGGTAGAATCACGCGATTCGTTTAGCCCGAAAAATTGCGATCTGATCCCGTGCCAGGGTTCGAGCGCTATTCTTCACGGCAGCGTGGCCACAACCCGCCGGGACGTAACACAATCAAAACAGACGCGGAACGCGTGGAGATCTAGTCAGATTTTGGCTGCGTTCGGGGAGACGATATTTAGCGCTATGAGTGTGCTCTGTCCTTGTTTGTTCCTGAAAGTTGAACAAGGACAAAAGGCGCTCAAAGCGCTAAATAGCAGCTCCTCGAACGCAGCCTTTGTCTTCCGCATTTCCGCGTTTCCACGTTTCCGCGCCTCATGTAATGGCACCCTACCGCTACCGAAGAAAAGATCATCGATGAAGACGTCATAAAGTCATCGTAATCGTTGAAAAGAACATTTTAGTGTAGGGTGTATATCAGTTGGACACGGGGCAATTGGACACAGTCCAATCACAAGTCGCTGTTCCAAGGGACCCTACAAATGTCTCTAATCACACGGTGCTGTGATTGGCTGTGTCCAAATGCACCGTGTTCAAGTGCACCGCTCCCTTTAGTGTACACTGCTTGCACTAGTGCCCAGTATAGAGGAAAAGAACAGACCTCTAATTACAGGTTAAGTTTCCTAATTCGCTAATAATGTGTAATAATATGATAGATTATAATATTTAATGTAGTAATTATTATTACAGTTATTATTATCACCTATATTTATTATGCCAGACTGTTACGTAAAAGGCTGCAAAAGCAGGAGTTGTTACAGCCGGAAGAATAAAACACAATTGCAATGGGAAAAATCTGAAGGCAAAAACATTACATTTCATAAGTAAGTTTTAATATCAATAATTACTGTAAACAAGTTACATATGCTACTGTTATCTATTTACTTACAACATGAATAAAATAATTATAGAATTCCAAAAAATGCAAAGGAACGTTCAAAGTGGCTTGATGCTGTGAAATTAAATGATACGGATGTACCAATGAATGCAAAATTGTGCTCGCTACATTTTGCAGAAAATGCTTTTGATAGAACATCTGTTAATTGTGTCAGGATCCGACCTGGTGCCATTCCACTAGTAAAACAACATATATGGCATAGAAACTTCAGAGTGATCAAGTCAGCAGTTTGCTTGATACAGTTCTTGCTGCACTATGGATGCAATTATCAGTAACCATGTCTTGAGTTTATCTTTAGATACCTTATGGCTTATTTCTTTCATTGGCTACAAATCATCTCTAGATAAACTCAAAACACGCTATAAATTCCACCCTATATTATACTACTATTATGTAGTAATAACATTATCAAGCAAAATGCCAACCTGTCCACTCTCATATTTTTCTCTGTATATATGGACATGGAGTTAACCAAACTTTATAATATTTAATGAAGTATATGTTTATTGTTTAGAAGATTGAATGTATAAATCATATAGACGCTTCTCATAAAAAGGAAAAAATACTAAATGAAGGTGTCAATGAAGAAAATGATCCCAAGGCAATCGAAATATTTGATATAAGGAAAGGTCTGTGTAATGGGAAATGTATAATTAAAATAGATTATTACAAACTTGATATCAATATATATCAATATATATATATATATGTATGTATATGTATGTGAGTAAATAATGTAACTAATAATTCTTTTTATAGATCCTGTACAAGATACTTATGCTGATATTCATGAAACAACGATAATGAAAAATACTAGTACTTTAAGCATTTTTAAAGGTAATTATTATTTTAAAAAATATATATATTCTATTGTTTTATTTGTAGATATTTAATAAATGTTATTATTTTATTAATTGCATTTCTTTTACATACAGAAACTAAAACTGCTTGTCAACAAACTATACCACGCAAAGTTAAAAATCAAGCAACTAGTGTTTCGCCACATTTGTTGGAAGATACGCCGACAGAACGGCTACTGAGAACTGCGCTAGTAAATACAAAAAAAGAATTACATAAGACAATTAAATGTTTGCGGCAAAAACATAGACGATACAAGAAGCGTATTGCACATTTGCAAAATGTACTGTTATCTTTAAAGAAAAAAAAACTTTGATTCACAACATCTGGATATCTTAAACAATATAGGTACGTTTAATAAGCAATTTTTACTGCGTCAAAATAGTAAGGCAAATAAAACCCGAATGCGTAAACAATATGAACCGAAGTTAAGAGTGTTAAGTTCGGAAGTAAATTTAGCAGCCTTCAAATTCGATGCCTTCAAAGACTGCGTTTAGATTCTCATCCAGGTGCACTCTATTATTAAAAACACTATAGTATATGTTACATATACTATAGCACTTTTAATATTAGAGTACACCCGGGTAGGGAATTTGAATGCAGCCAGTATAGCAGCCTTACGGTTAGAGTACATTTTCCCGAAAAGTGGAGGGGATAGTATCGGTACGAACGAAAACCTCTAGACGATATAATTTTAATTTCTGTACATTAGTAACACTGTTTAAGTAGTGAGTCTGTTAGTTTGCAAAACCTTTTTGACAGATATAGGAGAGTGTAAACAAGAAATATCGAAGAATTGTAATTTTTTATAAATATTAATATAAAAAACATAATGGAGCATAAAATAAAAATAAAATTATATTAAAATGACGCAAATAAGTGGAAACCTGGAGTCCATGGAGATAAACGAGATAAAAAAATAATGTTTACGAATATGTGAATATAAATGTATTTATAAATTAATAGATTATTATTATATACAATTGTATAATTTTAATGTTTCAGTTTTAATACATTAAAATTATACAATTGTATATAATATCATTATATCATTCATGATATCATTCATGTTTGTGGCATAATTCTTTGCAGTAAAATCATTTTGGCAACATCGTTAAATATGGAATGAAGTCTGTGCAAGATTAAAGACAAGTTTACACAAGTTTACACAAGGAAAATAGCAGAATAAATAAATGGATGATAAACAAATATCAGATAAGTAGTTAAAATTTATATATATATATATATATATATATATATGTATACATATAATAAAAGATTAATTATTTACATATTGTCTGTGACTGCGGATATTGTTGGACCGATTCTTTTCTTTAATTCATTTTCTTGTTTCAGCTTCGCAGCAAACTATGTGCTTGCAGAACGTTTATAGTCAGAGAACAATCTCCTGCAGGATAAAATTGCCAAAGTGTGAGCCTTGATGTACATCATTCATGCAACATTCGTTATCGGAATTAATAGGAAAAAGAGAAATAAATTTATAAACATATTTATAGTACCTATTCTTCTTTTGATATTTCTTAGTGTTTATATATTTATATATTTGTTACTCCTTGATTTGTCATGGCTGTTGCATTTTCCATTTCCAATATATGATTTTTCATCTTGCTAAAGTAATGCTACAGGATTGATCCTCGATGTTTGAGAAACGTTTTCCATTTCTGAAATCACAATAATAACAATAATAAAATTGTGACATATGAATATAGGTTTAGGTGACATACGAACATATCCTGTTTGTTGAAAGAAACCAAAATCAACAGACTACAAGGGTAATGAACACCGAGAAGGCCTGTCGAAGACATCAATGAAAGAAAGATTGGAAAATATATTTCACGAACCTGCTCTTGGTTTGTTACATCAATCTGTCGCTGCAGTGCTGGTAACATATATACTCTTATATTCCATGTTAGATATAATTTCAAGTGTTTTTGACCAGCACATGGTTAATTAGAAGGCTAAAATAACAAAATTCATTACAAAGCAACAATCAACCCGACATGTGCAATTTTTCACAGCATATAGATACTTAGTACTTTTTTTGTGTAAACATAAGTTACTTATCTGATATATGTTCCTTTATTATCCATTTACTTCTTTATGTGTTCCTTGTTTCATGTTGTATAAACTTTATTCCAGATGTGACAATTGATTCTGGTGCAAAGAACTATGATGCATGAATGATGTACGTCAAGGCTCACACTTTGGCAATTTTATCCTGCAGGAGATTGTTCTCTGACTATAAACATTCTGCAAGCACATGGTTTGCTGTGAAGCTGAAACAAGAAAATGAATGAAAGGAAAAAATCGGTCCAACAATATCCGCAGTCACAGACAATATGTAGATAATTAATCTTTTATTATATGTATACACACACACACACACATATATATATATATGTATAAATTTTAACTACTTATCTGATATTTGTTTATCATCCATTTATTTATTCTGCTATTTTCCTTGTGTAAACTTGTATAAACTTGTCTTTAATTTTGCACAGACTTCATTCCATATTTAACGATGTTGCCAAAATGATTTTACTGCAAAGAATTATGCCACAAACATGAATGATACCATGAATGATATAATGATATTATATACAATTGTATAATTTTAATGTATTAAAACTGAAACATTAAAATTATACAATTGTATATAATAATAATCTATTAATTTATAAATACATTTATATTCACATATTCGTAAACATTATTTTTTTATCTCGTTTATCTCCATGGACTCCAGGTTTCCACTTATTTGCGTCATTTTAATATAATTTTATTTTTATTTTATGCTCCATTATGTTTTTTATATTAATATTTATAAAAAATT